CTGTCGTATTGGTATGTACTGTACAGAGCTTTCAATTAAGAAAAAATATAAAAAAAACATGGATCGTTTAGAGAGAATCATGGGAAACACGACCAACATCAGGCCCTTTTTTAATTACAGTCTTTCCCTCTAGAAGTTTCTCTGAAGAATCTTTAAATGTTAAAGTCCACGAAAAAGGAAACCTACCAAGAGGCATGGTAACCATGGACCAGCTAGTGCACATCACGTGGAATCTGTGTTCCCATGGAAACCAGTCGGCTACGATAAAGAATAAAGGGAAAACAAGAATGTTCATCCCGAGGCCGTATAGGACGCCATTGGAGAATATAAGGTAGGTAGCACTGGGGGCAATTGCAGATAGGCCTAATCCTAATACGACCAACAACGTCCCCACACATGTCGAAAATTTGTAGCCGCAGTGATTTGATGTGATCTTTCCTATAAAACTCGTGGCAGTTGAGCACAGGTAGAATGCTGTTTGAATGAGGCCTAGAAAAAATAATTCAATCCATTGTTAAGACGTGCCGGCGACAGATGGTGGAGCGTCAAACCTACATGTACATACAAACACCAACAGTGCTGTTTTCACAACTGAGATAGAAATCCTTCGATCATTGCGCTACAATGGCCTTTAACTCCCTTTCAAAATTTCTCAAATTTCTGCTTAGTTTTAAAATGGTATGATGTGAAACTGGCTTACTGATACATGTGACTCTTTAACATAATGACTGGCTTATGGGGAGTATGCACATTCACCTTTCGTAATCCCCCCCCCCCCCCCCCAAAAAAAAAATCATATGTGCGTCCGAAATTATGGCAATCGATCATCAGAGTTAAGATATCCCAGTTGAAACATGTACGGTATATTATCAATGTCGTCTTCTTCTTCTTATTATTTATTTATTATTATCATTTACATAAGCCCGGCAATGACAGAAAAAATTGATAAATGAGTTAATGCACCCTTGTTTTGATAAAATCAGAATTTTTTTGCACCTATTCTTTCGTAATGAAAAAAAATGCATTGTGCATTGGTTTGGTAAGTGGAAAAATGATGCACTTGACGCCAGAAAAAACTTAAAGTTGTTGTTTTTATGCTCTTAACTAGATCACACTGTGGCCTTAAGCTTCAATGAGAAAATTTTAAGCTACCATGCTCCTTAATGGTCACATGCTTATAAAACAAAACAAAAAATATATATTAATTAATTAAAAGGTCTACCAACCTGTTTACTTCGAGATACTTCTCTATAACCAACTTATCAATTTCTTCGGGCCTAATCTTATATTACATTAAAAATGACTTACCTAGGGTTGCTTGAGATGAGGATCCCAACAGCGGATCTTTACTGAAAGTTACCACAAAAACGCCCCAACACATTTTAACACCATTGAAGGCAAGAAACAGAATAGATGTCAGGAGTACAACCAACCATCCGTGATACATCTCTAACTAGTTCGAAACAAGTCCAAGGTTGTAAAGTTGATTAGTCAATTGCAAGTCTAACGCGGGATATTGATATGCTAGTACAGTGTAGGTCTTGTGCCGAGTTGTTGTCACCTTAACCATACAGTCTCTGGCCATCTTAAACAGGAAGGTCCTCACACGCAAGGGAATTCTAAATTAACCTTTCATTAAAAAGAGGTTTCCTGCTTTACCGCTAAGGTGTGCGTATAGTCAACGTGATGACACATTCGTGTATAATTACTACACTTCATACTGATAAACTTTGGTGTCACCCATCCTTCCGGGTCTCAATTTATGATAGGATCAATTCTCTCGACCCCCTTCAACAAAAATCGTAGCAGAGGGTTCCATTGGACAATATCGTCGCCCGTTAAGGTCACTTTTCATTTTCTGAGGTGCATTAGACGTTGACTTTTTTAGCATGATCCGTGAAGCACCCCATTCCCGTGACTCGTGAATGCAGTTTTTTATTCCTCGTCAGTTGTGAAACGAAGTCATTATAAGCCTAGATTACATTTGAAATGCGATGCCCGTACGGTGCACGTATACTGCCCGTAATACCATTTTCGTACGGCGTCTGAGCGGAGGTAGACGGTGGCCGTGCGAAATCGCACGGAATCTTACTGATTTAAGATTATGTAATGTATATGTAGACATACTCGGCGTAGCCCGTAGTTCCTTACGATTAAAAAAAAAACCGTACGGACAATTTCATTGCACGCCGCCGCTGTAAATGTAATCTAGACTATAGTCGGTTATTCGTGGTTTTCAACTCGCTGGACTCACCTTTTCAATGAGATATTAATGGAATCTTATTGACTGCGAATAGTGATTTGATGATCTTATTTGACGTTAAATCCAGATTAGTAGTGATATACCGAATGAAAATAGTTAATAGCAAAAGAAAAACCGCCACATTCTGCTCATGATTCTGCAAATGTCAATCAGAATTCAATAAATAGCGTTATTGCACATGACGAGTTGATTTCTCATTTAGGGCGCATTCCCATAGATTTTAGATCGATCTGTCCCCGTGGGGAGTCTCACAAGTTTACTGTCAGATAAGTTTTAGAATAGCATGATGCGATACCTACAGTACTGCTGCATGTAAATGTTCAGCTTGAAGTGATCGTCTTATAGAAAATATTTAAGTATGTACATTCACCTTTCGTAACTTCCCCCTCCCCCCAAAAATGTCATGTGTGCTTCAGCGTGACCTTAGTTTTTTTTGCAAAAATCAGAAAATTTGAAAATATGAAGTGAAAATATGCATTGGGCATTGGTTTGGTCAGTGGAAAAGTAATGCACTTGACGCCAGGAAAAACCTTAATGTTATGGTTTTTATGCTCTTAACTAGCCCCCACTGTGGCCTTCACTGAGAAAACTTTTTTTGAAAAAAAAAATGTCTACCTACCTGTTTACTAAGACTAAGAGTTACTGCTCTTCAACCAACTTATCAATTTGGCCTGGCCTAATATTTCATTGCATTGAAGATGACTTACCTAGGGTTGCTTGAGACGAGGATCCCAGCAGCGGATCTTTGGTAAAAGTGGCAACAAAAACGCCCCAGCTCATTTTGACGCCATTGTAGGCAAGAAACAGTATAGATGACAGAAGTACGATTAACCATCCCTGGTACATCTTTAATTAGTTTAACTAGTCCACTATGTTGTAAATTTGATTAGTCAATTATAAGTCTTACGCGGAATACGCGAATAGGTCTAGTTCCCAGTCGATGTCTCGATCAAAACCAGTCACTGGTCAGTTAAAACAGCAAGGGGGTCCCATCAGGTATTTTCGTTGCCCATGAGAGCCACTTTTTATTTCCTGAGGTGCGTGAAACGTTCATATTTTTTAGCGTGATCCGTGAAGCACCCAATTGTGGTGACTCGCGAATGCAGTTTTTTACACCTTGTCCTTCGTAAAACGAAGTCATTAGACTTGCTGGTTCGTGATTTTCAACACGCCGGAATCACATTTTCAATGAGATATGAATAAAGTTTGATTTATTGTAATTTGTGATTGGATTATATTATATCCGGTGAACTGTGATTACTACAATTCCCACCCCCAACGTGACCCTCGCAGCTGTCCTATTGGCGTGCAGGCCACTGGTGTTTACTGTTATCAATATTTTCACTGTTTTTTCTTTAGTTCAGAATTATCTGCCTTGTCATCAACATAACAACAGAGCAACCGGGACTAATGCATATTTGTTATTTGCGAAAAAAAAACCCGCAAGTCTATTAGGCCTACTCTGCTCGTTTGTGCGTTTGAGAGTTTGTTTGCGCGTTTGGAATTTTTTTGTACTGCGAAAGAAGGCGCTATTTTTTGGAGATTGTGGACTGTCCCTTGGAGGGCGGTTGGATTACTCTAATTTTTTTTACATTTACTGCTTTATCATCCTAGATCTTTAGAGTGAGAATTAAGGCTCAGACTTTGATAATTGGTAGACTATTAAGGACATGCATGAACAACTTTGCAATTTCAGTACAACTGGGAGTTGAATCATTCTATTTTTTTTACATTTACTGCTTTCTTCTCCTAGACCATTACAGTATGAGACTGCAAACTTTGGGCATTGGTAGAGCTTCACAGATCTGCATGGGGCCCATGGGTTTGGGCTGTACCTGGGGGTTGGGTGGTTTGGCATCATAATCCACTATTGACAGACAAATATGCCTTTAGGGTGAGCTACCAGAATATAATTTCGTAGTATATTTAGAAAGTGCGGGGAGGGGATATGCGATGCTACCCAGTGACACCATCTAGTAAATTTATATATTATGTTATGTACAGTTCGAAAGCTGTCCTTCACTTATATATAACAATTTTTATTACACGAGTGAATGAACTGTAAAATCAGTAAAAATGTTTACACATGTTATCAAACTGTTGACGGCAGTCCGTAAGTAATCTCTTGGTGTAACAAATGATTGTGTTTATAATCTTACAATCGCTCAGGGGTAACGGAGGTATCTCACGGTCAGAGATGAGCCAGATGATTTGTCAGTAGGACACTATTCCTTTACTCTGGTTCTTCATCATATCTGTTGAAATGGTTTGCGTATGCACGTACAGGGGGCACTACGATCGGTGTCTGCCTGTGTGTCGGGGAAAAAAGAGTCAATCACCATTTTTTTTATATTCTTGTGTTTTTATCCACAGTATTACGCAGATATCGGGTCATCAAAGCTTAAGCTCAACAATATAGCGTCCCTTTGTTTTTGTAATATGTTTTTATGTATGCTGGATTAATTTATTTATGCTATGTAATTTCGCAAGTCTTTGCTCTATGAGCTATTTCAGTTATTTATTCATTTTGTATTATTGTTATTATTATTTTTTTTATCTTTAGTTTAGGATCCAGTGTATACAATAATGAACTGCGACCGGAAGGATAAGTTATCAGCGTTGTTTTGCATTCGGTCTGCCATTAGCGTACGTGAATCCCTTAGCTCAATGGGACGCGTGTACTTTTAAAGTGCTTTGACCTACTAAACTTCGGAATGGGCTTTAATAGTGATATATGCAGCCCTACTAAGTTGTTGGTAATAAAGCAGAACAGTTAAAGCAGCTGGGAGAACAAGGCGGCTTGCTGATGCAGATAGCTGATGCGTACGTAAACATTTATCGATTTGTTTGAACCGTGGTTAAGGTTAGTTAAGGGGGGGGGGGGGGTAACTTCGTATGGACTAATTTTGCTTTTTAACAGTATATCATATGGCAGTATTCTTATAGCATCAACCAGGACCCCTGTGCCTGCTTATTTTTGCAGCAAAGTAGTGAATAATCTGTGAACCATTGTGTCACCGATATCCTGGGCTATGCTGGTACCTGTATAATTAAGGGTGCGTTCAGACATCTTCTTTGGCCTATGTCTGACTGGGCCTAGCTGTAGGTATAATAGGCCTAATTTAGTCGACTTTGACGTGCCATTGAAGACCACTCCAGTTTTCAACAGATAATTAAGTTAAATTGCAAGACACCATCTGACGGAAGAGCAATTTCTTAATATTGGTAGCTCCTGTTATTCCCCGTATAACGGTAATAGCTGGGTCACAGTCACCATCATCATTATTCCCCGTAATAACGCCGATAACTGGGTCAGAGCCATCACTATCATCAACGTGAGATGGGACTCTGTTACGACATTGGGTGTTACCATAACACAGGCAAAGTTTAAAACATACCATTTGATCATTTTTAACTTCTCAATTACATAGAGTGGATTACCATGGCAACTAGTACTGGTTGATAAAACCGTAATACGTAAACACAAGAAGGAAAAAAAATGCCAGTCTGAGCATCATTTTGTCAGATAGTAACGACTGTTGCTCAACGCACCGTGACCCTCTAAATAATCACCGATGTACATGTAATTAATATAGAGAGGCGGACAGAAGGTCAATCATTCCCCTACTGGAGTTATCAGTGGCACACTCCCACTTACTCAAACACACACACACACACACACACACACACACACACACACACACACAAGCAAACACACACGCATGTGCACGCCTACATGTACATGTACTGGTTCAAACACACGCACTTTGACGGCATCCAGTTGCGTTTTAAATAATTATTACAATTGTTAGATTAATCTGATTAAATAAACGGTAAAATTGGATTTCAACAATATAGCCAGACTGAGGAGCCTATTTCTGCCTTTCAAATAACCCTCCCTCCGAGTGATTCAATTGACCAAAATAGCATAAGGCGGGTAGGATTAAGCCATCAACTCTCTCTTGGTGTTAGTATATGATTTAACCCTTCATTAAAATTAACATTTTAGTGAAAAAAGAACCATCTCTTCTTAGTCAAACATGGATTGAGAAAACAGTAATGCATCGACAATGAAATACACGTCTTTGACAGCGACGTTTCCTTATGCCTGGGAAGATTTCATCAAGGCTTTCTGGAAGATGTTTCCAAACCCCTACAAGTAAGTATAAGTCAAGAGAATCTAAGACAGACTTAATGTTAGAGGTAACGTCAAGTCATATTTGTCATTTACCAGAGTATTAGTTGATGGCCCTTTCAATTTTGTCCTCTCTCTCTCTTTCTCTCTCTCTCTCTCGTTTTTATTTTTCTCCAATTTACAGTCTGCTAGTTTGACCTGAAGAAGTTATGAACCTTAAAATACATATAAATTAATATTTAAATGAAGCAAGTTCTACATGTATGCAGTAGTTTTCAGGGCCGTAGCCTGAGCAAAATGCTAGGGGGGGGGGGGGCAGTAAGCGGATACGAGGGGGCGAAGCCCCTGAGGGGGGGGGGGGGAGGGGGGGCCCCCCTCCCCACGGNAGGGGGGTGGGTGGGAGGGGGTGCCCCCCTCCCACGGTGTGGAAAAAATTTAAAACTGTATGTATAATACTGCATTCTGGTGCATTTTAACTGTTATTTAGTGCTCAATCAGAAGTCAGAAATTGTGGGTTCATTTTGCCTTTGCGATTATTTCTTTTGCACCTCAAATCCCAGGGGGGGCAGCTGCCCCCCCCCTGCCCCCCCGGAGGCTACGGCCCTGGTTTTCCAAGTAAATAAACTCCTATACAACACACAGCAATTAATTTTGACAAAAACGTATCATATTGCACGTTATCTCAGCCCTCAGGTTGTTGTGGAAGATGTCCTGGAGCGTAACATCCAAGATGGCAAGCTTTACACTAAAAGAATCCTCGTGAAATCATTCGCAAACTTCCCCAAATGGGTGGAAACGCTGCTGCGGGGAGCTACCAGGACGTGTGTAATAGAAGAATCCATAGTGGACTTGGAGAACAGAACGTTTGTGACGTATGTTAGGAATATAACGCAGACGGCAGTGGTATGTACGAGTCAACACATGCCCGCCATGTGTCATGCAAAAAGAGCTTCAGGTTTGTTTTTGAGAAACGCAATCTCTTTGGCCTCTTACACAATCAAGCATGCACAGATTTGTACACAAAAGTATAGGTGTCGCTACCTGTACTCAAAAGACGTAAAGAACATGGTGAAATATATCGAAAAAAGTAAAGTGGGCGGTTAATTGGTGCGTAATTCTACATCATGACGGACTTTGATCGCTTTTCCCTTACTTCCCAATGTCGGTATGGTGTTTTCCAGCCATTAAAAACGCTGTATCCAAACGCGTGTCACTTTTAGGGAATTCAATTGAATTCTACCTGCTATCTTTGGTCATACTTAGTTGTTTTAAAAAGCATTTACCTTTTGCACTAATCCCTATGGCAATAACTGACTGACTCTTCCAAAATACACGATATGATCGAGTAAACAGCATTGACAAGGAGACCAGCTTTTAATTTCCCGTGGGCATTGTTTTTCCACAGTCGTATACTTTGATAACAGCTGCTTCATTGCCCTGTTTTTGTTCTCACTGTAATCTGAAACATTGGAAGAAAAAAATGAAAAAAAAAGTCTTAATGTAACTCGGCTCAAAACTTGCGTGATACGCACTTCTGTGCACTTGCTGATATTAACGAGAGCTTGTAACGAGATACATGTTGACTATATACTTTTTGCCGCTGCGAATTGTAACCTGCGCAGATAACTCGTCTTTAGCTGTATTTTACTACTTCATCTTTCAGGTCGCTTATATGCTTCCTTTTTCGTGCTATATCGATTTTGCGCATTTATTCTATTCTGCGTTTGCAGTTATTAACCTATCAGATGGTTGAAGAAAGTGCAATTATTTCAACTTTTTTTTTTAAGGTAGTGGAAGAAAGATGCACATACAAACCCAGCACAACTTCCAACAGTGAGACAGAATGTGACCGTCAAGCCTGGGCTACGTCAGGGCTGTGGGGTGTAGCGGCTGCGTTAGAATCCGTGGCGATGCGAGAGTTCGTGAAAGATACGGAGCTAACAAACAAAGGGGTGCTACTTACACTCCAAACTCTACATGGCCGTAATTAAAGTCTAATAATTGAAGTAATTTAGTTGAAGGCACTGGGGCAAATCATTACATGAAATGGAATTAAATCTGCGCTACCGCATTTTGCAGTCCTGAGGACACGAAATTCGTTTGTCTTTGTCTCAAGGTTTTACATAACTCTTTGGGAAAGGCCAGATAAGGCCTGGATCTGTTATTTTCCCTTTAAAAGGAGGGGGAGCAAGCTTTTTGTACCAAGCTGTCTCTGCTATGTGATTCCATACTACAGGTTAATCAGGTTTATTCCCGAGTACATCAAAGTATCCCAAGTGTGGTAAAAATACTGGAATCCATATGCTTCGCTGCTATCAGTGCGCCGTTTTTAAAAGCGTCGTGTCCAATAAATAGACTCATTAACACAAGGTGCATAAAAGCCTAAATGCATTGTGCTTGTCACGTAAAGGCTTGATAGTATGAGAGGTCTGCTAAATAAACGTCTCTTCGAGGTAAATGTAAGCTACTATTTCAAATCTTAATTGGCGGTTTCGCAACACGAGTTGCGGGTACAGTGCAGGCCTGCGGGAAACCATGTAATTTTTACGGGGCTCACTGATATTAAATAAATAATGAGAGAAGGAAATTAAGATTTAACGGCTTGTCTCAAACGTGCTCATTATAGCTTCCCAAGAGTTCCCAGGTAACATTTTCCAGGGAGAAGTGGGAACTCGGTATGGATAACTTTTAAGTTAAAACAGCTTTCGCGCCCGCAGAGAAGCCCAAATCACAGCATATGCATGGTTAAGCCAATGGTATTGAATTGATTGCAATCAGTTTTCGATAAAGATAACTTGATATTACTTGATGTGATTTGAATAGGCTTGTGCGAATGCCTTAACCATACTTGGGTCGTCATACTGTGTTTATAAAAAAAAAAAAAAAAAAAAAAAAAAACGACGGAACTTGAGTGAAACATGAACAACAGAAAGAAACAAGTGCATCAACAGAATAAAGAACTATTGCACGTTGTTGGTAAAAATGATTGTTGCACCCTCGAGAATGTTGGGTTTTAAATCACGTTACAGGTTTTGGAGTGCTTTATACATGGTGATATTTTGGCTTCTTTCTTCCACGTACATGTACATATACCCCCTGTAGATGTCAATATTTGATCATACGAAGGTCAAATATGCTCATGTGTCAACGAGTGGCAGGTTTAAAGTAGTGTAGTGTTAATGTACGAGTAGGCCTATAAGGGGCATGCGGACAGATATTTATTGCTAGTTTTGCTTTTGAAATTAATTACGAAATGCCCAGCTGTACATTTTACATAAGATGCACCTGGTGTGATAGTTAAAGAATAAATGGCATATATACACAAAAACAAATAAAAAATGTAATTTCATAGATACATGAAATATCATCTCCAAGGGGGAAAACTTCATGTCAATTTTTGCCAAACGTCTTGCACTGGTTTGCATTCCAATATAATACTAACCACAGGGATGTCCATATCGACAGGTTTAATAGACTTATCGCGCAGGGAGTGTGTATTACAGCCAAGCACAATGATTTAATCTCGTTACCTGTAATGTAAAAGGAAGTTTATTAGACATTACAGTGTCACTAATCACATTTGGGAAAAATACGATAAGGAGCTTCAAATGTGATGCTGTGGTATAAATTGTTTTACTCTGCATACAAGCAAAAAGTACATGTACATGTACATAGCCGAGACACTGCAGCTTCACGTCATGTACACGGAAGATGCAGAAAACGAAATGCTGTTATTTTATTAGTTCATATCGTAAAGGCTTAAGCTTATGCACATGTCGCCCTTCTTAAATATCTTAATGGTATCAAAATTAAGCATATCTGGTTGATCCCAAAGGGAGGTCTACTACGAGAGAGCCATATTAGTACTTAATGCTAAGGTTATGATTCCAAAACCATAAGACCACGCTGTCTATTCAAAATATACATATGCAACGTTTGTCGTCTGGTATCACGATGCCATTAAGTGTAATTGAAAGAAAAAGTGTGTATAGATTAACCAATTTGGCAGCACTTTCGGTTGCTTTGAATGGTTCTTTAACCAATGAGAACAAATTTCATCCTACTTAATATTGTAAATTTATTCAATGGTAATTATGTAATTGGCAAGTGTAAAAAACAAGTGTTTTTTGTTTAACTAAGTTAATTATGACGCAAATCGTAAAAATTGGAATAACTTGCCATTTACAGAACGTGTAGGCTCTACATCGTTCAAGTTGAGGTAACGTTGTTATCATGCCATTTCACATGGTTTATCGGTGGATAGCAAATACTCATTACTGTGTTTATTATCAACGTCCCCTGGAACGCACAGGTAGACAGCTAAGAGCTGAGCAGGAAGATGCCTGAAGCTGGTAACTCAGTATTTCTTTCACAGTGTGCGTGGGACTTTAACCGGGTTTTATTTTCTGGGACAATCCTTTCTACCGGCAGTCCACACTCATATGTGCATGCTCACAGTTTATGACTGGGTTCCCACAGATTTAGATCGAGACATCTGGATCAACCTAACTCCCTGGGGGTTCACACTAAATTGCTGTCAGCTTCCGGGAGTCGAGCGCACACAACAGTTAATTACCCCCTTTCAGCTTTTAGTAGGCGGGACAAACTGACAGCAATCTAGTGAGACTCCCCAGGGAGATAGATCGATCTAAATATCTGTGGAAATGGTCTCTATGTCTTTCAGCATGTGATGATGTCAAAATAAATTTAAAAATCTGTTAATAATAAAAAAATATAATAATCTCACAACCGTTCTTGTTTTACGTGCTCTTTAAGCATCAATCGTTGCACACTAAATCCGGTGTCGTGGTACCGTGATGGAAACTCATCAGACGTTTCAGAATCCTTTTGGCACTATTGCGTCGCACCATGCCTTGAGACGGAGCCTTGAACGGAGACTTCCTCGATTTTATTTGGTGGAGGATGCCGACTAGCAACTCGTCGACATGGTAACTTAGGACGGCTGAGGTCTCGATGTATTTGGCGTCGTATAGTGTGGCGACCAACTTGCCCTCTGAAAAGAATATTCTCTGTGAAACTAAAGATATAATACTGACATAATACTTTAATATTAAAATATATTGCTCGGCCGCGGCCTGGTGTGACAGGAAGGGATGTCCGCTAGGAACCCCCACCTATTAAAGTCTACTTTTTATACTGATCATCACTCTCTGTGGGGCAAACAGCCATATTTGATAATTGTACGCCATTAAAGCGCGCTACGTGTATGAAGAACGGGCTAGGACGGGCAGAACGGGCTAAAATTGCTACATGTATCGACAGGTCGACTAACGTTCCGGCCACCTAAGTCCAGTGGGCATGGATTAGGTTTAGTCTATTTAACTTTGAAAAACAGGACAAAGTATTCGGTGTAAAGTTACTTCTATCTGCAAGGCAGGAACTTTGGCAGAATATTATAGTCAGCGCGGGGGCGGTGTTTCCAATGGGACATTCACACCGGCATGATATTTTGTCCTTTCATGCACAATAACTGGTAACTGGAGCCATTCTCGTTATTGCAGACATGCAAACAGCCTGCGTCACGGACCTCACAAATAGAAATGAAATCGAAAAACCTATAAGAATGCCGGTATTGCTTTTACTACAAAACCAAAAATAATCGCTTTCTTCTCAGATCTCAAATCTGTGCAGGAATTCTATCTAGACAAGAACTGTATTAGTTCAGGGTTTTTATCAAATTCCCGCAAGCACAGTCAGAAATAACTATATCGGCATCTCAAATCTGGCGATAAAGAGAAATCGATAATCTCAGTCGGAGCTTGTTTATATCGGCTTGTATATATATAAGTGAAGATAAGTATAGAACCCTGTTTCTTAAGTACAAAACCCTGTTTCAGAACAAATTTTTGGACTTAAACTGTCGGAACAGAATTCCCACCTACCTAAAATCGACTTTGCATTTTACCAACGATTAAGAACTATGTACTGATTGAAATCAATATTTCCGCCTGATAACTGCTTGCTCAATCTGATTGTTCATATTAAAAAAGGCTCTGTGTCTTATAGATTCAAAGTTCTCAAGTGATGACTTTTAATTTCCCCCAAAAATTGATTACTCATAACAGTTTTTCATTAAACGCCACCCACACCGGCTCATTTCACCTTTGAAGAACCCTGACTCACGACTGCAAAAACACAGGATTCTTATACTAGTGTATGTTACTTTTCAATTCGTTTACATTAAAACCAAATTACGGCTTGATTTAAAATCGTTAAGAGCCGTCATGCCGCGTCTCCTGTTATTTCCCTCTGCTGGGTAGCTACCAACAATGGTGTAATCACATCATCATGTTATCACCAGCTCAGGTAACAACTGATTACCCTCGCTGATACGCTAAACTACAAAATGGGATTGCGTATTGATCGCAAGGGAGTAGTGCGTAAAGCGTGCACAGCCGAGTTGAAGTACATGTATCGGTTCTGGAAATTCGTTGATCTATTGTTCATTGTATTACTATAGAATGAAAAGATAACAGTAGTTGTGAGTAAATAGAACCAATACTCAAGTAGAAAAACAGGCTTAAGGCCTACCTCCGCCAGGGCAGCTGAATTCCCAATATTAATACAGACTTGACATTTAATATGGAATATTTCAGTTTCGAAGGTATGCCTAGGTGAAAATGTGTTCTTTTTTCAAAAACCCCGATCTCATATGAGATATGTGAAAGGAGAAGTGTGTAGTCAGGTGTGTCGCTACCAATTAACTGAATACCAGGTTTGTTGCGCTGCTGCATTATGTAATATGCAGTGATTTAATTGGGTAGTGCTCCTTTGGGCAGGTCAAAGCTTGGCTTTGGCAAAGCATGGTTCTGTCAAAAAAGTATCCATATGTCGGCAACTACTGCATAGAAGAATTTGAAATTTTGCATGCAAGTGGCCAGTTTTGCAGTGTGAGCTATGCAGTGCTTTACAAATTTGTTAATCTGTGGCAGAATGGCACATTGCCAGACAGATAATTGCGCCAAACGAAACGGTCCGCACAGTTTTATAGAGTAATGCCCAGACTGATGTACCAACACAGAAGCCACACCCAATGTATTAAAATCTTACCACCAGAGTACAGGGCTCACTGTCTTTCGGGTTATGCTGTTGCAACTAAGCAAAAACCACCCGTTCAGAATGAGGGGTAAATTGCCACCAAAACGCATTTTTTAAGGCCCTTAGCGAACACCAAACTGGTTTTAGCAGGTTAGAATACCAGACGACCGCCGAGGAACCCACTGTAAACAGCAAAACATCGTTGTATGTTTCTCTAATGAATTGGGGGCCTTGACTGTTTCTGGGTTGAACACTCAAATGTCGTGGCTTTCTTTGTTGAGGTCAGCTTTCACCTGTACCGCTCAACAGCCAAAACAGAGTTTACAGACATCCAGAAGAGGCCAACGACAAAGTGTGTGCCGCGTCTTAAGAGACTAAGGTCATTAACAGCGTCAGTATTTGGAGTGGATACCACATTGGTGCCAAAATACCAATGGTAGTCATCGACGAAAACCTGGACAAGATCAAATAAAGAAATAATCTGGGAACCACTTGACTATCATTTGATAGGGGGCAACTTAGGAACAATTTTAGGTTGCACGGTGAGATTGCCGGTTCACACTGATCACTTTTAATAGCAGATTACTTACAGAACCAAGGGAATGAAAAGTTACCTTGGTCATCAAAATCGCCATATTTGAACCACATAGACAATATGTGGGTAGGCCATTATTCGCCGAATCAATGGCCTACGTGTCCTACAACAAAAGTGGACCAAATTGGACATACTTTGACCGATGCCTTGAATGTTATTCCAGATTGAACTGAAAAGAAACCTATCCAAGGAATGCCTTGCCACTTGAGAGCCCTGGTAGCAGCCAGAATATGTCAGGCATAACAGCGACCGTTACTGTGACTAGACACTGACATGAGGGTCCTTTGTGGAGCGTGTAACTCTTTTAAAGACAATAACTTGGAAAATATGGAGGTCTAAAATATCTCTTTTAATGGTTGTCGTATGACATAGAATAGGCAATGTGTTTTTGTTTGCTTCTCTGGCGAATTCCATTAATGAACTGATGTCACAATGACATCAAAGAGATAATTAAAAGTTATTAAAACACGATTTTAATTCTTATTTTCATTTATTAGTCAACAAAATAGGAAAAAAAACTGATGAAAAATGATTTGGAAAAAATATTCCATATTAAATGTCAAGTCTGTACATTGATTATTTAATTAATGAATAACCACCGAAATCTTTATTATTCTGATTAAGTTACTCAATTTCTGACTGACCCTGGAAATGTTATTAACAAATTCCGCTCATCAGTTTTTGCATAAGGTTATAAACTAACACAGTAACAAAGGCGAACATATAACCTCTTTGACAGAAGTTAATTACATAGACTTTGTCAATGCTGATATGCTGGAAGAACTGGTTTATAACAGCATGCACATACATATAAATTAGGTGAAAATTGGATTTCAGGGGGATTTGATATGGGTTAAATGTGCCAGCAAAGTAAAATATGCCTTATGCTTACAGTTGACACGTCCTATATTATTACTACGCTTCACTCTGCTGCACTGTATGAGAAAAAATCTACTGCACGGTTTTCGTATCGTTATTCCGTTGTTTTTACAACACAGAACTTACAATAGCTTTTTTATCAAAGCGAAATTAGTTGGTCGGTTTTATTTTATTGCTACTATTCACTCATGATTAGGATACCATCTACAGCACAAATTGGAACCCATTTTTTTTGTATTTTGTAGGCATTGCATTTCAAATGTAATCTAGGCTTTACTGAAATGGGATTGTGCGGAGTTTGTTCGATTTATTTTGATTGGAAACGTGCCTTAAATATTCACAACCTTGGTATATCCAGCATAGCCAATGGTCAAGGTCTTTGTGCACGTTTTTTTCTCCTGTGAAGTTTCTTCGTGTGAACTTCATTTTGGAAACTGCAGTTAAATTCTTGGAAGACTTTGTACGGAAATATGCACGATCTGCCTGCATATACGGAGCCCGCAAAGGTGACGTTAACGAACTCTCCGGCGTATTTGTTCTAGGACTTGAATTAGCTAGGAATTCATTTAACTGTTACGTGGGCCTGCTGCTCCATTAATAATATGCCTCAGGACATGATTAGGAGCTCATTTGTTCCCTTAGAATTCCCGATTTCAACTTTGATGAGACCGGCGGAAAGGAAAATACTCTTAGGGGAATGATGGAAAGGGGACCATAGCAGCCATTTGAAAATGTTTTCGATCCGCCATTTCAAACACATTTCAATTTTCCAACAGCCCGTCGTCCTTTATTTCGTTCCACTTTCCCTGAATTTCCAAACAAACGCTAGGTGATCTTTTTAAAATCTATCTCATTAACTGAAATGTGATACATGTCATTCATAGCTTGCTTTAAAACCCTTTCATTTCTCCATCAAATTGCTTTTGTGTGTGTGTGCTACAGTACCAAAGATGTGCTCCAATCCATCAATCAATTACTTCACGAACTGAGCCTTTTAAATACTGCAATGTATAAAAGATGAGACGTGCACACTTTGAATAAATCAACACACGTCTCCATTTTTTATCTCTCGTATTTACCTTTGTAAATGTGTGCATAAATCTTATATAATTAAAAAAACCTTTCCCTACATGTACTGTTAAATCTATTTTCGCTTCATTTATGTAAAGCTTTGCCAGAGAATCACTTTCAGCTGCTCACCGATATCGTGATAACAATCTAAAGTTTGTGATTACACCGCCGACATAAAAGAGTGTTCCAGATTTTCAATTTATCTTGAGTACTGAAGTTGTTCCACTTTATATCAAAGTGGGCATAGGTGGGTGGCAATTTTAAGTGGAATAGCGGCGCCTCTCTTATTGCCTTCACCCTCTATAAAAACTACGGGCAGGCGCACGCGGGCTCGTACTTGTGTGCGTGTGATGCCAGTTTCGGGCACTTACCTCGATAAAAAAATATGTTTCATCAAAAGGTGGATGGTTCTATGGCTACAGGGTAGTTTAAAATTGCTCGTAGTCGTGATGTAGTAACGTTTTAAGTTTTGAAGTCATCAGAGATATGCTGTAAGATGTCGTTTATTGCATATGTACGTTGATCTCAAGAGTCGCTTTCTCGCCCGACAGCATTTTCCTTCTGTATGCAATCTTTCTTCTACCCTATTATTTTTATTACAAATTGTTAATTTTTCTATCTTCTCATAGATCTTTAGATTGAGGAACTTGAAAAGTTTTGGACTGAAGGACCTTTCACTATGATTACGCATTGGTATACTTTGAAAATTTAGTGCCTTTGGAGGTGGGGCTGTCCCTGGGGTAAGATTGTTCTTTTACATTTGGGTATTTTCATCGCTGCATTTTAATAGCCTTGCATACATATGGAGCCACATGTGTAATGTTGTATTTATAACATTTATTTTAAATAACTAGAACCCAGGCAGTGATATAGGTATCTAAGGAATGGGGTCCCTTAGGGTGAGCTACTGTTGATAATTAGGGGAAGTGTGGGGATATGCGATGGCTACCAATTGACAGCCTATTTCTTCAATGGTAAAATGTTTTGGAAGTTAATTCTCAATCAATTACACACAAAGTTTTACAGACGAAGATACGTGTATGACGTAAAGAGTCATTCGTTGCGAAACGCACGCGATTTTGGACTTTGATTCAAGTTTGGCGCCAGTTGCCACTTTTTATGAAGCAGCACTGTTCTACTTTAGGCATGATTTTTGGCCAGTCCATACTTACCCCCACAACTCACCACCCGTGTCCTCACTAAATCGTCCTTATTTGCCACCAATACTACCGGACACGTACACTTGAGATGTTTCCGTATTTTACACAGCACATCTTCTGCAAAGACATAGGTCTGTCTGTCCGCCAGAGAGTACACGACTAGAGCGCCATCTATGCTTGGGTCCTCCACGAGGCAGGGTATCTAGAAAAGATCAGCCGATAAGTTCAGGGGAACGTTTTAGGGGACTACCCAATATATTTATACATACAGGTACCGATCGTATCATACACGCTACCTATATATATTCGGTTTTAGGGGTGTTTTTCGCTGAATACTAGTACTTTCTCACGGTATGTATATGTATGTATGTCAAAGAATACACTGTCACCCTCTCGCAATATATGCTTTCTTCTGAGGAAGTGTTAATTATCCCACATACTACCTTGATGTCTCCCTAATAAGAATAGTATAAGAATATGATAATAATTCGATTTACTTTTTTTACACGAGTGATGATTTTATGAATGAAAAGAAAATAATAAGATCTGCGTTGAAATGAAAATAAGCAAGTAACAACAGTGACAAAACACAATAATTATACAGGGTGCCCCCTCCCCCCCCAAAAAAGAACTCATTAAATTTTTATTTAATCCTACGGAACTTCATTTTGTGTACAGTCATTCCCCAAAGATCCTGTTATCTTCGTCGCTTTGTATGTTATTCATAATCTTTCCAAAACGTGCTCTAAATGACCTTCGAGGCGTTGGAAACACACTTGCGTACGTTGCGCAATATTGTCAATTACTTGAACTCATTCATCTTTGGGGATTTCCCTGGATTTTGCTGTGGTCGCTGCCTTCAGTTCACCAATTGCATGAGGGTTGTTCTGGTACACGTGTGCTGGTACATGTAAACCAGAACAACCCTTAAACGAAAACAGAAATCACAGTAGAAGTCAGGGAAATACCCAAAGGGGAATGTGTTCGAATAATTGACAGTTTTCTATTGAAATTTAGGACGTTTGTTGAAATATGCTGTCTATTGTAGGGTCAAATAGAATTTGTTAGTTTTTTTTTTTTTTTTTTTTGGGGGGGGGGGGGGGGGGGCAGGGGCCATCCTGTCATTATATGTAAATCAAAAGTAATCAATTCTGGGCCACCGAACAGCCCAATTCAAGTACCTGATCCTCTGTTATACTGTGAAAGCTGAGCTCTGTCTCGTCCCCATCTACGCTAACTGTGACCACGACCTCTGTAAACTTGTCGGCTGAAATGTTAAAAAGGTGTTGGAGATATACATGTTTTTGAGAATTCACAGTAAGCATGTATATCGCATATTAGGCACAAAAAAAACAACATTTACTGTGTATGTACATGTGTGCCCTGAAACATGCAAACACGCAATAATGCGCTGCACAACACACACATGCTGGGTATATGTACATACTGTAAACTCATGTACAAATATACACAACGCGCACACACGAAAAAATGCACAGACACACATACGCAGAAATACACAGCATATGCATTATATATACTGCACATTTTCACGCGTTACTTTAAAGTGTTAGCGATTGATTTAGCCTCAGCGAAGACAAGTCGAAATGGCCATTAATATCTCAACGTTGCGTGGTCATACTAAAAGGTTGCAAAACCCCACAAATCAAGGCAATGAATCGTATAAAATTTGGGCAATGATTAATTTCACTATTGGTGATGTAAAATATGAACTAAGGCTCTTTCTAAAACCTCTTTCCGTGAACATGCATGGTTCAGAGAAGCTAAGCAAACGATTCCCCTCTGCAATGTACCACCGTCTTCAAGAACATACAACCTTGGTGAGATTTAAAAGTTTCTAACACGCCTAATTGAACGGGAACATTAAAAAACATACGGACAATCACCCAGAATACAAGATGTTTTCTTCTTGGCAGCACGTTTCTTGGGAAAGCGTTGAATTTGATATTTTTAGTATTTGCATGACTTGCAATACTGAATGTGCCATGAAATGTTATTTAAATCTCATTTACTTATTCATCCTGTGCAAAAACCGCAGCAGCGTGTAATAAAACCCCTTTCCTGTCATTTATGCACTTACGGGCTTACATCATCCATGTTTTTCTGTTAAATTTTTTTTTACCATAAGTCCTCTGCTGATTTGCCGGATATCTACGTCAGTCAACTTGTCATGCTGGCTGGCAGGCTCACCAACATTGACTCACGTCATAATGATATCTTGACTGACAGACTTACGTCATTCCATCAATACGCCTTGTTTCTTCCACCACCACACAATAGATAAAGATGTTTACAAAAGGACACACACACACACACACACACACTCACGCATACACCACTAGCCTCAAGGTAGCATACACTTTTTGTGTTAAAGATTAGTGATTATTTTATCAGCACAAAAATAAACTATAAACTTTTTCTTTAATTCCCTCATTTATCCAGTGATTTGGCATACGATCGGTCATTTGACCAAGACAAAATAGAGCGGGTCACTATCTTGCAGTGCTCTACCAAACATAGAATAGAATATTTATTTCATTCATGTCACAAGCATTATATCCTTGGTCCCTTGGACATATTAATCGCCAAACGTCATTTCTGATTTTCTTTTTTAAAAAGCGTGTACAAAGTATTTAGCCAATTTCCTAGTACATGTATTCATAGTCATAATTAACCTAAGTTTGTCGTTCATATTACTAATAGATTCCAGTGGCTATAAACAATACGCCTTTTAACGTGTAACGTCTTCTTATGTATACCACAAGAGTCACTTCCAAGTTGTATAGAGAAAGAAATCTAAGCAGCCGATCTTTACCTGGTATATTATTTCTAGAGTATTCCTTACTTTGCTGGGATCAATTTGTCAATTAACGCGAATACACGCATGTTTTTTTTTTTTTTTTACAAAGTTTTAAAAGCTCTGGATTCAAAATGTATAATAGTATCGAGCATGTTTGTTTCACATCGTAAAAAAATGCCTCTAATCAGGCGTGTCTTGGCAATCTTTCTGCAGACTGTTTTACGGCTGATACGAGACCAAATTTATTTTCTACAAATCTTGTTTTTCTTCGTCCCATAAGTGGGCATACTTTGTATTTAATCTAATAGCATCTAGAGACAGCCATCCGTCAAGGAAAAGAAATCTCATGCATGGGATTATCTTTTCTTGGAAACGGGCAGATCTCTGACTGTATAACAGTAGTGGTTTTCTTTATAACTTCATGCATATGTCCGGATGCCATATTTGAATACCGTTAATCTCTTCACGAACCTTTGTATATACTTGCATATAAAACATTCATAAACTCTTGTTGACATCGCATGATATGAGGAAATGATTTAATTTACCGTGCTTGATGGATGTGATATGTTCACAATGACAGTGACAGTGTAGCGCAGTTTAAATCTTACAGGTGTTGAGACAGGGTTGGAATTCCTGATATTAGTCTACGTTTTAGCACGAGTCTGTTGTTTGTTAGTGTGTGTGTGTGTGTGTGTGTGTGTGTGTGAGAGAGAGAGAGAGAGAGAGAGAGAGAGAGAGAGAGAGAGAGAGAGATACGCTTTGTTCAATGGTGATCACAAAGGTTGCTTGACAATTAAAAAAAAAACGCAAGATCTAGAAATGCACGATTCTTCTACTGGCTGGCTACTTCTTATACACGTACCTATAAACCTTGGCTTTTAAATGTGCCCACATACGTATAATGCATATGCTGTTCCAACATTTTGTCAGCACTTTGCATTGCACCGAAGTGTCGGTCGTTTCGGGACAAATCAACGTGGATCGATCCCAATCCACCTCTAGCTGACAAAATGTATTTTCGATGTAATAAATATGTAATCATCAGGCATAAGCGAGCCAATGATGAAAAGCAGAGAGACCAATATTTACACGTTATCAAAATCTGATGACTTTTCCAACACATACTAAAGTAATTGCACTGTGGCCAATCGTATCTGGGACGGGTCCCAGGGGCCATGTTGAACTCAATAATCGGTTGTTATAAATATGAAGGTAATTAACAATTGTGTGTTTTTGAGGATAAATGAATGATACTAGTCGTTATGAATGCACCTCTCTCTCTCTCTCTCTCTCTGTGTGTGTGCGTGTGTGTGCGTGACCGCATGCTTGCTTGCTTGCTCAAGATTGCATTTAAATTTAGGCACGCTATTTTCTAATTGTTTTAGCAATTAAAATTATATTAGCCAGTCGAATCGACGGTGAATTAAAAAAACTCTCTTCTCTACTTAGTCAATGATTTACTTTCTTCCCGCCAAACTGTCATTTTCAGCCGTTGCCTCTATACACAAATTACCATCTCTCCGCCAAATGCTCGTCTTTATTATCTTTTCACTATTTAGTTATCTTCATAAACTAACTTCACAGCGACAAATCGATTCAAAGGCGCTACTGGTTGCCTCCAATATGACTGGCGTATTTAAAAATAAAAGATCAAAAGTGTCTGAGGCGGCGCTCATTGCCTTGGGGACAAACACTTACAGCGAGAAAATATAGGAAGACAAGCTTCACATCACAGCTAATTCCTAACACTAGGTTAACAACTGCATTTGATCGCCAGATCTCACATAAACCGACGAGGATGGATATTGCATTATAGTTGCCGGCGTTGCGCTTCACTTGGAATAGATTGGTATCTGCGTCTCTTGCCAACATAAATAATATACTTAAGCGCTGCTTATCTGGCACCAGCATCAGTAGTTTGATTCTCCCTGGTTCTAGGGCCCATATTCACTAGGGTTTAACCTCTTATTAGTGGGGTTATGCTGGCACTGTTGCAAATACCGAAAATAACTGGAGAGATGACTTGGCTTGGCAACACCATTTTTTTGTTTATACAAACAGAATAAGATAGACAAGAACATGGCGCCTACATGCTCATGCACACACTTCTTCATACAAGCAGCCGCTCGCGTACACATCTTTTCTTGTGCATACTTTGACAGGCATGACACTTGAGGCATGATGATGATATTATATATTTTCAAGATTACTACGTATGCACATCATATACCTCTTTACCCCCACGTGCTACCCCCCTTTCTCATGGGGCATGGTTCAGGTCTTGAATTTATCAATACATATGTAGTTGTTCCATAAATCATACGGAATGATCACTTCAACTTGATTCACTAAGTTTCGTTTTGAACATTCTACGTCTGCTACAGCGAAGCGGGTTATTTATCGTTGTCTTATGCCTTAGTTAATATTTACCTATGAGGATATCCTTAGAATACAATTAGTTTCATATCCTATGTAAATAGTTCAATGATGGACATCTTCAGTGAAACATTTTTTAAAAACTCCAATTAATGTCTTTAACTCGTGTCCTAAAACGTGAGGCGAACAGAGACGATCAATCAAAATGACACGATCGCTAAGATCGTTTTTCTTCATTACTCTCACAGCCCAATTGGGCATAAAGTTACATTCTGTGAACCGATTCTCTGAATTGCTCAGCCAAGTGTTACCGAACGCTTGAAAAAGTTGCGATTAATACACAGATTTGTCATTCTGATCTACCAAGCACCATCGCATCAATAAAAGACGTGCCGCATGTGACTTTTAGGTGGCTGTCCAATTCAATGTTATTTATTAGCCTCGCAAATGGCAATTTCTGATACGAAATTCATTGGTGCGTGAGGTACTAAACGGCAGAGTGATGCAAGATATGAAAAAAAGAATGGCATGGGTACAGTCAATAGGGGGGAAAAGGTTGCAAGGCCATCGCTTTAATTGTCCTGATGGGAAAAAAAGGGGGGGGGGTACAGTCAGTGTAGTTGAGGGCAATTAAAGGTGGGCTTACGTCCGCTTATCGCCAAATGATGTGTGCGACTGTGCGCTCAAAAGTCTGGCAGAAATTTTGAAAGAACTTGCTTGCAGGCGAGGTATAATGTTAAGGCCTTGGAAATTAACGGCAGATAATCGACAGCTTCCGAATACGGTTCACGAATAAATAAATAGATAAATAAATAAATAATAGCTGATAGCTTGGAAAAAAGAATACCAGAAAAAACGAATGAATGCGAGTCTGCAGGTGCATGAGTAGTTGCTCTGGCTTGGTTTAACGCCAAAAAAGGAAAACTAAATGAGTTGGCAAACCGCAAAGATCAGTGCCTTAAAAGCAACGTGGGATCTTAACAGAGTCGAAATCTAATAAATAGCAATTGAATGCTCAATTGTAAATTTCATATCCTATTTTCAAAACAGGAGCTTTGGTAACAGCAAACAATTGGTACGCATTTAAGCTCGTTGTCGTAGAAAGAATTCTATTTGGTCTAAAAAGGTCGACCGTGCATTAAAAATAAGAATTTGGGCTTGAATTTCAATTGTAAAAAAAACTGTCTATAAGCAAACCAACAACCTGTAGGTCTAGTACCTTAAGCCTCCCCTCGTGCCATCAGGATAAGTAGATAATCCTGATGGTATTCGAAACTAAACTGACGCCTCGACTGCCTCATCCTCAACCGCTCTGTATAGAACATTCTGTCGATAAAAGCTTACAACTGAGATTTTTCTATTCCATAAATGCGCCTCCTGATATGCATGGGCCGTTTCATTCCAATGTATCATTATCGATTCAATGGTAATACGGTCTTTATTTAATCTCTGTGAAATAGGGTTTGCTATTCAACTATTTGCGGGGATTGAAATGAGATAAAAAGAAAACACGCCGCAGTTGGGTATATGAATAGAAATCGAATAAAACGTGATAAAGTAAATACTAACGTATCCTTCCTTTTTGATAAACTTTGCAAACAGTCTTCTTGTGCATCAATTTTAACAGCTAAAACATACTGAATGCATTGCAATTGAATTATTATTGATATCAGTGGATGGAGTAATTGCAATGTTATAGCACAGTATAATTTTACAAAGACACGGCTAATGATAAAAACAATAACTACATATAAAGATAAAGTAATATAATTAAGGAGGTCACAAGTTTGCGCTTTGTTCAAACCACGTTTGGTGTTTTTTACGCTTGGAGAGATAAAACTATTTAAAAATTAGGGCCAATTAGATTCAGATTCGGTTAGAAAATTAGGTGCCAGATGCGTCTCGTTTTTTTCCTAAATCTGCAAGTTTAACTTTCTAGGAATAAAATAATTCAATCACAATTTACCCACATGTGGCATTCCTGCATGATGTGAACGTAAACTTACGCGTGCGTGTACAGCAATTTTTAATACTATGACGTTGTTTATTGATCACCAACTTTAACATCATTAAAGGGGCTTTTCTGAATGCTGGGTGAGTATATTTTACGTGTTGGAACAACAAATACCAGCACATGCATGCAAACGCATATGCACTTAGTGTTGCGTGCATTCAAGTACATACATGTAACGCATAGTTCACAACAGATGCGTCGTTCATATATACCACTCAAACATAGATTACATTTGCCCCGGTCGCCGTTCAAGGAAATAGTATACGATACTCCGTACGATTTTTTCAGACATAGTAAGTAGCTGCGGGCTACGTTTTCATTATGTGTCCTTTCTACGACATGACATTTAGGTCACATTGGGAAACATCGGTTTTTTTGGTTGAAAAGTGATCGTACAGAGCCCTTTCATTATCAGCTGTCTTAAGCCTTCCGTGCGGCTTCCTTAAAGATCAATATGTTGTCGGTACAGCCTCTACGATTTTTACACCCATGTGGTCACAATAAGGAAAAAATTACAATTCCATATCTTGCAAGTAAATTACAATAAATTTTAAACATCTTTACTATCGTTCTGCCTCCTGAAACAACCAAAGGTTTAAAAGAGACTATCAACAGGTCCAACCATGTCGTTCACCGCAAGTCCATCGTATTGGAGCTGTGCCATGCCATCTACGATAAAGCTTCGGGCTTACGGTTTTAAAGATTTGTCAAATGTTTTAGCTTGACAAATTTGTTGAGGCTATTGAGGCTGTGAATTCATGCGCTTTCGTATGTCCCACGACCTCCGTCTAAACGGGATTTACGGGATTTACCGACATCGCATGGCGTATGTACATGTAATCTAGGCTTGACGAAACTACTCACCGGAATCCGTATCAAACGTATCTACCAGAGCTGTCCTAGTGAACTGTTGAGTCAGGGACGTTTTCCCCACTCCGTGGGCACCCAGTATGACAATCTTAAACCTCTCCGGTTCAGAACCTTCCACCTCAAAACAATCATCGGACACTATGCTGCTGGTCCGACTGACGGATCTCGAGCGAGGACCCTCTGCTCCGTCTTCAGCGCTGGCTGCAGTGTCACTTGAGGCACTTCCGATCCTCTTTTTACGCTTCTTTACGGAATCCCCTCTTTGCAGGAGCCCTTTGGAGTTCAGGCTAAATTCACGGACTAAATAGTACTCTACTTCGGTAAGGTTGTCGTGTTCATTTTTTTGGGGTACAGGTTTCTTTTTGGGGCGATAACTGCAGGCGGGCACGCTTCCGCTCCTTCGACGGTAGCTTGGGCTTTCGGCGGCCTCTCTCGTCCGAGGACGCCGACACGACATCGAACGTCCAAGCATGTTGTTATTCTCTAGCTGCAGCCGTGCAGCTGCTTCTGTAATAATTTCTTCCTCGTCTCCAAGGTTAAGTGTCTGCCCCGGCCACACATTACCGCTGCCGTCCCTAGCGTAAGCCATTTATAATTTCTTTCTTCAATTTTTTTTCGTAAGTTTTAAATCCAATCGCTCTTACAGCGTCTATTTCATTTCCAATAGGCCAACCTGCTTTTTGTGTTGATCAATATGACTAACCGAAAATCTACATTCCTTTCAAACGCTAGGTCTTCTCTGGAGCGCTTTTGTGAGGATTCTGGTCTACATTGAGCTCCCTTTTGGGTTTTGTAGTGCTCTTGTCTGAAGGCGTTGATATAGACTATGACGTCACTAAATTAATAGATCCCGGGAGCCAGAAGAAGGAACCGGCCAATCGATCGGTTGGTCTGCCTATAGAAAGGCATACTGCACTGCTTTGTAAGTCACGCACGGTTTTTACCTCTCCGGGCAAGGGACCCCGATTTTGCTCGCCTTTTATCACACGAGATACCGTTATGACAATTAAGTATTCAGAGGACAAACACTGAGTTCAGCAGAAATAAGTACTATGTATTCGAAAATGTTAACTGCACTTTTTGAAGAATATTTCTTGCAGCGAAGGTGTGGGTTGCAGTGAGCTAACCCCCCCCCCCCCCGGATTTCCAATATCCTATTTGTACTAGTGATGTCAATACTAGTAAGCGTCAAAGACGGTTGAGTTGAGCTGGGTTGAGTCACGTAAACCTTAATAACGGGATATATAATATGTAGATACATTTCACCCCTTGTACATGTATGAAATATGATGGAAGAATCGACACTCGCTCTTTGCCACGTAGAGTGACAGGTAACTTCTGCTATTAAAATGAATGAATTGTTTGATTTCAGAGCACTGTGTATAATGGAAATGCCCCTGTCAGTATTTGGAAATTGATGAAAAATCATCGAAGAGCGATATTCGCACGGCCCACGAGACCAAAATATGTCGACATACATGTAGTAAAGATTGATTATAATAGCTTTAATAAAGTCATCGCTATTGCATGTAGTTAATAAAATCCTTTGCAGTTTTTTAATCAAATTTTCAGTCATGCAATTTCGTATGAGGTAAGTCATTTTATGAGCCTGATATGCGTGTTTTGATACACAGAACCTAATTCGTTACTCAGAATGTTTGTTTTGAAAACGCGGTATTGGCCCGTGTACAGCGTACATACATGTACTCTTACGAGATGCCAAGAATCCATCTCCGATACGACCGGTGTCAACATTTATTAACTTAAAACAACCAACCAGCATTTTTCCTTACCTAAGCAAGTCAACACTGATATTACGCGTGATGTTCAAGGGAGATATCGCGATGCAAATCTTCCAGCAACCCGTTTGTAATCCAGTTTCAAAGAGATCTAAATTAAATTTGCATTTTGCGAAAAGGCCAATAGGTATAGCATCTGTTTAAACACGATTAGTTCATCACTACTCCTATAATGGTGTTTGTTTTAATCAGCCCAATCTGATTTGGCTTTCTTTATATCCAAAGGCTGACTGTAGATTCTCGAGCCACTCATCATTTGATCCTCATCTTCTCTCACTGTTTGAACACAAGTTATTTAATAACTAGTACTTATCTTTATTTTCAAATAATTACCAACAATGTAATATGCTGTTAAAAACATTCATGAAGATAAGCTCACTACTACTTTTTAGAAACCTATCGACAGTTTCGTTAATTACATGTAGGTTTGTTGACAACTGAGGCTGTCTAAAATTTTAACTCACTCTTAAAATTGGGAAATTAATTTTTTAGGAATATATTGTAGCGTAACTGTTTACAGATCCAATGGGCTTATTTTCTCAATAAAATGTTATGATTGTCATTGCAAAAATATCCGAATCACGTTAATACAGACCAGAGGACACAGGTGTCCAGTACCGCTGAAGAACACCCATTGAATTACATTTAATAGAACCAAACACAGTTTTGTCTCAGAGCGAAAGAACAAAGATAATGAATATGAAACATAAAAAGGCATCGGCATTTTACTTTATCACAATGTATCGGATAATTGCTGCAATGAAGGAGCATCGTCCATTCACGTGTGGGTGAAACTCCCCAATTCTAGCACAATTCTGACTTATCTGTTGCATGACAGAAATGATAACATATGCTGTATTAATCTGAATGGTCAGGTACATGCACACCCTGGTATCCAATCCTTTAAAGCACTCTTTGGGCTCATTCCCATTAAAACTCTGGGTCTACGTAGCTCTTCTTTCCACCGTGCTCGTATAATAACAGCTGTTCTGTATTCTACTGGGAGCGAGAAGAAGGGGTGTAAATCTGTTAAGATGAATAGTTTCCTTGCGGAGCTGGATCAATCTACGAAGTCCGATAGGTTCATTGGGAATGAACCCTTAAAGTAGAGACATGAATCGCGTGGCATTCACGTTAGAAGTTTCAAACACAGGGTGCCCTGGCCTGGTCACCGTTGATAAAAAACTACGTTCTTTGCTATCGATTTTCATTGTTCTGCGGCCTTATTCTGCTGCAAATGCACATTTTGATTCTTTTGCATTGCTCGAACATCTGCAGTGAAGAAACTGTGGGCAGAAATTTTTAGCGCCAAAATATACAATAACCAAATTTTCTTGGCGTCACTGACAGTTTTGTATAATTAGATTGACGTATGTGGTTCTACACATTTCTTCAAGTGGACGCGGATAGCTCGAGAGTTCAGTTCCTTTCATTTTTTTACATATTTGATACAGTATTAAAGGGTCCTTCCATAAAAAGTGGACATTTGGGTAACGTCGACCACGCAAATATTTTTAATTGAACTTGGTCGGTTATTCCTGTTATTTAATACAACATGCATATTAATTGCCCCGCACTATGGAAGAAATCAACAGTGAAGTTATACGTATAAAACGGTAACACAAGTGTGTTTCTCACTGGCATGTCTCAAATGTTCACTTTCTTGTGGAATGACTCGATCAGATAAAAAAAAATTCACCTGCACTGTATGCAGAAAACAATGTTTCAATATTATACATAGACATCAAGTTAAAAATATTCCCTACGTTTTCCGGGAAGGAATATGTTTTGTATAATTAGATTACATGCACATTTGGTCGTCAGTTTATATCCTTTTATCCATAATTGTTTGAAATACAAAATGCATTGCATTGCATTGAGAAGATTGAAAAGGATTTCCTCGTAGGTTTTAGGTACAGAAGTTATTAATGTTATATTTCCTTGATATTTCGTGACCCTGAACGCCACTTCAGTGTAATAACGATCGAATAAAGATAGGGCATACCAAACGGAAAGCATTTCTAAAACCAATTTTCTGAAATAAGATTTATAGTCACCTGGTATCGTGGAAGTACACATTGTACCGACGTCACCCAAAGTTCGCCCAGCCAAATTTCCGGTCTTGGTTTAAAGGTTCCAAATACAAATCGAATCTTCCTGGAAAAAATGAGTACTCACGAACCATAGCTTCATATTTACATGACATGAGAAGGGGGTGAGTTCCTTTTCGATATCTTGTATGCGACAAAGCACGTTGATTTGATCTTTTATTATTTTAGTTAAATACCTAGTTATACATGCTCCCCGTTAAGTTGAGACATTCATATCTGAGCATTTCAGCCTGAAATATAGAAAGCAGGTACTTATACGTAAGGAGTTTTATCAGTTTAAAATCTGGATTGAGAACGATAAGTACATGCAGGTAAAACTTGGCAGGTAAAGTTGGCATCTAGAAAATAAGACTTGGGTACAATTTCAAACGAGGATGGTATAATTCTTATTTTAATTCTAAGAAGTTGTAACATTATGTTTGGTGAATTAAAAAAACAGAAGAATGATGGAACAGCTAGATGTTTAGAGTCTGCTTTCTACAGAAACGGGGAACATTCACCCTAGCTGGTCAACCCATTAAATACATTAGGAGACGCGGCAGTGGTTACAGTAGCCACCTTTTGTTGAGGTCTGGATGCGTTTTACTATCAGTTAATTTCATTTGACCACAAGGGATATATATATAGTAATTGATTTTCCTTTATTAAATTACCACACGCTGAGGCCAAAGAGTTCACGGTAGGAGTAGCATTGTATGATGGAGTCTTGAGATGAAACCTGTGAATGTTTTTTTTTTTTTTTTGTAGATACCGAAAAGACAGTCAATTCGTAATTGAGAGAGAGAGAGAGAGAGAGAGAGGTGCATTGGTGAGCACCTTGCGAACCACTCCTACGTTTATCACGTACATGTACATTGCAGCCGTGTTACTGGCGCCATGGCTCAGGTATAAATGATGTGCTTGTATGAAAGATAATCCAGGCGACCACCGTTGACAATCATCAGCTTAAGGTGATAGTGCTGAAATTACGACTGTTCACCACAACTCATCACAGAAATAATAGATTATCGGCACTGAAAAGTTGATTATTAGATCCGAGTTCAGGTCATCCTTTGAACCAGGCGATTCCGGTGTGGCTCATGAAAGCAGGGGGCACAGATAAAAATTTTTCCCGTCGTTTCACAATTATAAAACAGTTGACAAGGGTAATTTGACTGCAAAAAATGGGGCACTAATCGACCTTATGCCAATCTGTCCATGTGTTTCATAATTATTGAGCTTTTTCAATTTGGAACGAGTCTTTGACTTGCCATACACAAAGATTATGTTCGTTAATGGCTCTGTCATATTTAACACTGATCATGAAATATAATGAATGGTCCGTGTTCCGTTATAGTAGAGGTAAAATACAGTGCGAACTAAGGGCCGTGATGCAAGGACACGTTTGGATTCTTAAGTCCCATGATCTCGGGCTGGCACGCTGTCAAAGAACGCATACCAATCCCATGCTACCGGTACGAATATTACATAGTCGAATAACTCACGCAACCATCTCGTTGATTGCGTCAATGTTTGTGTATTAAACCCTTAGTTCTCTACTTAAATTCACGCTTCTTGCATACAATCAATATCATGGAATAACGCAATCGCGAGTGCCTTTATACTTTCAACTGTCGAAATGACATCATGATGGTAATGCGCATACATTTGTAGCTGGCATTTTATCTTTCTTTTATATCTTTTCGTGGTATTAGATGTCTTCAAGTAATGTACTTAATAATGCGAAACTAAGCAGATATTTTGCTGATTCAAAATACATTCCAGGCATTATACACACCGTACAATAGTTCCTGACATGTGTGCAATGTATATTTAATATCTACGTTCTAAATGTATCGTCATTTTCATTCTCCTTGTTTCCATGTGCGTGGTTGGTATAAAAATATGTTCACACGCGATCAGAACTTCATTACTTGACCGTGGAGTTTTAATCAGTGAAATTTGTTCCTCTAAACTCAGAATGATTATATGTTACCTGTACGACATTTCTTTCACAATCATTACGTAAGTGACTTGAATTTTCCGATCGATCAATCTTTGTTTGTCTTTCAAACGTTTCAAATTGCTACTTCTTTAATACCTTTATGTGGTACCTCAAACTGCATTAAATATTGTCGTATACTTAGATCTGTATAGCGTCAAGTGCAGACTGTGCCGACCGTTGATATTTGTTTTCAAGCGCCTAGAAACCCAATTCCGTCGTCTGCCTTGCGCATATTGCAAAAGGTCTGATTTCAATAATCTTTTTTTAAAAATGCATAGTGTTAATGTGCAGTTTGTTAAATGGCTTTTAATGTGATATGCATAGGGAAATTTCCACAGGGAATATTGGAATCTAGTAATAATGGTGTCTGTGGAGTCAAAGCGACAGATATTCATCTTTAACACAATGCAATCAGTTATTTATGGCGTATTCAAAACATGCCACTAATTGTTTTAAATTTGATAATCCAATGCCAAACCCTTCTGGGACTGGAGGAAAATATTATAAAAGTCTTATGCCCCCATTTCCATAGATCACCACCCATCTTTGCGACATAAATCGATCTTACTCTGCGACTCTCCACGACATTGCGTAGAACACAGAAAAGCCTGTAAGTATACAGGTACGAGTAACAAAAGGAGACCTATCATTCAGTTAAGCTTATTGCACTCAGCGAAAGTCTCCTCAGAGCTGGATCTACGGAGACCATTGGTGTTTATGGAAATGGGGTTTCAACATCCCTAAGGCTGCAAAATTTTATTTAAAAATCATCATGGTGTTTAACTCATTTGCTGTTGGTAGTCTTTGAAACAAGGTCAAAGCAACACATTCTTGAATTTCAACAAAGAGTACATTCTTACCTCTGTTTCAACCCACGTTGATGATATGGTGTGAGCTCAAACTGCCTTTGTTTTATGGGCCAATAGTTCGTAAAATGTGCTTACTCATATGCATGTAGTTCAATATCGCAATTCGAATTATATGGTATTGTATCTTACATGTATATGGTTATCCGAGTATAGTAGGCTTACAGGTAGCTAAATACAATCGTGTTTAGTTCTTTATTGAAGAGCCCAGCAGAAAACTCAGCTCATATTATCACAATGCATGATATAAAGCAATTTGACACTGCCACAGGTAGGACTCCTTGTTTTAACTGCAGGTATATTCATGCTGCCAATATCATATTTCGAATTTCTTCGCAAAGGTATGGATGATTACAAAAGGAAATCTGACGAAGGAATGTGGAAATCATATGGGTAGATCAATGAATTTTTTTAGACCAGTGCGCTTTATTGATACACTTTTTTTTGCTCAAGGTAATGCTGCTCAAGGATAAGTGACACTTGAGAGACTTGAGTTAATGGAAAATATTTGTTTCAAAATCCCGATGATGCTTATCTTTAGGAATTTTTTTTATGGATAGCAATCAAATAATGTGGATAGAAAACAAGTCAAGGTTATTCCCATAAAAAATGATCAATTATGAGGGCAGATTTTTCTCCAAATGACAACATTTGGCTTTTATTGCCATTTTAAAAAGCGATTTGACTCAATGATCTTTGCTATTATACACTGGACCATATGACACGTTAAGGCAACAAGTACGTCTACTTCCCTTCTGGAAATATAACATTATGAACATTGACAACATGTTCACTAGGGTAGCATGAAACCTCCTTGTGTACGTAACGTGAATGCATTGCTCTTTGTTTCGAGGGGTTCTCCTGTGAGATTTAAAACAATGTCACTTTAACTTACATTCAAGAATGTGCTTTTGTCGGTTTTTGTCGAGTCCATAGACCCTTTCAGGTGGTATAATCTGCTAAAGTCTGCTTCAAATTTACGGCTGTTACGTTGCTAAGAAACTTATGTAGGAACACTATACAATGTACTTCTGCTGTTGTGACATATTATAATGTTTTCAATTTAAACAATGCCCCTCATTCAATAGGACTGTCTTTTAGAGACCATCATTTGTACGGTCAATATTGTCCACCCGCAAGAAAAATATCATCTGCCACAAATGCGCTTGGTGAGCCACTTTGGACAATGCTTAGAGCATACATTGGACAGGTCTCAAAATCTTAACAAGGGTAAGAACTTGACTTGGTTTCTTATGAAATGCCTTAATGAAGATACGGACACATCGTAAGTTTCAAATAAGACTAATCCAAATACGAATTTCATTTATATATGCATCATTTTCTGTTTGTGTGAGGAGGCATCTTTAAGGTACTTTTGATACTTCATGTAGCAACCAACTGGCAGCACTATAAATGATATGTAGCTCAAGACCACAAAAATGCATGCATGTTGTCCACTTACTTGATATTAGAGGGACGTATGTCAGGAAGGTGCCTAAATTTAAGCAATTTGGTGCTTTTATTACTGACGACCTTAAATAATCTGAATATGTTGAATTCCAGAAAGCGCACCCACAGGTGTTTTATCTACTGCAACGTGGAGTGTCCATTTCAACGTGCCAAACTGTTTTCATCATATCTGGCACGGGTGGACCAAACTTTTATTCTGTCTGTTGGATGATTTAAAGGGACGTATTATTATTATTATTATTATTATTATTATTATTATTATTATTATTATTATTATTATTATATGCATTGTTTGAATTTTTTTTTTTTTTTTGGCAAGAACTTTTCACCATCACAATGTTTTAAATACTTTTAAAAGGCCTACTTTCCTTTGCATTACAAGTGGAACCGTGTGATTTGCTTGAATCATACATACAAGTAGCAAATTATGTCATTTATCATATTTTATTGAAAATCGTGCAATAACAATAACAACAACGTCAATTTGAATGATGTCAAACATGTCCTAACTCCGCTTCATGGAGTATTTTGTAAAGATAATTATTTAGTTTGTCTTTCTTTTTAACTGGCAGATTTATCCGCTTCTTCCTTTCCCGCTCAAGGTATGGCAAAATTGAAAACATACACCATTATTCTAACTTGTGCTAACTTGCGTTGGTAAAATACATAGCGTATGTAAAAAGGCTGAATTGGTCATAGTCATCACCAATTTTGATAATACTCTGCATGTAGACTGCATGGGCTTCGGTTATTCGTAATTTTGTTCAGTTGTATCTACCAATAAAATGCCATGGAGCCATGTATGGTTTTCGTCCTTTTTGTCTTTCAAGTGGGTGAAGGCACATTATTGTATTTGAAATCACCTACATGTAATATAGAAATAGTTCATCTCGAAGCTCTTAATTGAGCATAAAAGTTGAGCTGTCAGTTACAACGCATTGTATTTTAACTGTTTGTGCGTGAGTGTTCAACTGCAGTCGAAAATGAGACTTCCCGCAAAATGCATTTTCTCCTAAAGATGGCGCTGCGTCTTTGTTAATCCGAAACAAGACACACCTTCTAGTGTTAGGTATCCCGAACAGAGTGTTGTCTACATTGAGACCCATCAACGGTATTACCCATAAGTTATTTCACAATCTGATGGTTCGGAGCAATCAAAACTCAGAATTCGACGAAAGAATTTCTTTGCACTTGTTCCTCTCTTCAGTTTCCTCTCCCCGTCGCCAGTCCTCTGTTTCAGATGTGTTAAAATGCCAACCAATAATTCGTCGACTTGGTGCTTCAGTACTGCCGATGTTTCTATGTATTTGGCATCGTAAAGCGTGGCAATGAGTTTCCCATCTGAAACAGAAAATACACAGAAAATAGGTTACGCATTTCAATAAACAAATGACAGCTGACTGAAAATGAAAGTGATAAGGCACGGACAACCGGATCCTAAAAAACGGCAATAGGCAAATGCCAACAGTCTGAAAATGAAAGTGAAATGCCGGCTGCTAGGTACTTATAAGTGCAAGATAAAACACAATTCGGATGAATGATAACAGCCCGCCGTCATATTAACCTGCATATAATGATAAAGTTTCAATCTCTGTCTTTAGAAATGCATCTTGATCAGAATATATATATACCCTGTGCATTTTCTGAAACTTGTGTGAGTTCATTTGATTCCAAATTTACATATAAGAATAAGGGCGTCGGACTGCCGGCAAGTGCTTGCAAGGTTTTCATAGAATAATATTTTATTATTGTGACAAGACACCACTTTCTGCATGCAATATGCACAGGTGGAATTTTTTTTACTTGGGTCATTACACACAAAAAAAAAGAAAAAAAAAATTACCACGATCATATTGTTTGGAACAATTTATACCTCTTTATATTTATACTGTTGATGTCTGACCATATTGGCGGCGGGGGGGGGGGGGGGGGGAATAAATATAGTAAAATTGAGCTACAATAGCGGGACAAATCGAATTTATTAAAATATTGCCCAAAAAATGAGTGTCAACGGCGTGAATCAAATGTTCATATTTTAGAGTGACCCACATTTGAAACACGGGTTCCAACAGGTTGCTGAACTTTCGCACTAAGCGTCATGTTGTACGTAGCGACAAAAAGTTGTCAAATAATCTTTAATGAATACAAGAACACAGACAGTCTTATCGTGGCAAGAGAAATTGCATGTGTTTGAAGTGTGAAGCATCTGATAAAGGATTAAAAGTATTCCCGTGTTTTTCACTCACTCAAAGAAGTTTGGGTTGATAAACCTTGGGGTTAAACAAGGGGCATGAAAATTAACCACAGGATACCAATCCAGGGGCGGAATAGCACTTTAAATAGTGCATTTAGTGAGAGAAGGATATTTTCATTTCCGAACATGCTTTCTTTTTTAACGATCTTCTCCTTGTTCCTTTATTTCAAGTAACCTATTTGTAAGAAATATTTCTTGAGTATTATTTACTGTGAATTATTTCGTCATTTAGTGCTCAGTAGAACCGTCACACGTCTTAAAACGCTTGATACTTCTTAATTAAAAAACGGCGTGTTGAGGAACGTGACAGATAAACATCTGTGTGTCTGATATAACACTGACGTCTCTGTATCAAAATTGACAATGCAATCTGATTCTGGGTATTGTCGCCATGCGACAAATGTCATCAAAGGACTCGAATCTTTTTAAGAAAAGCAGAAAAGCAGATATTTTTATATCTCGATCGATCACTGAGATGCCATAGGCTATATAGCAACGTGTCATTCAAAGTTTAATGGACAAATAGGGACTCGTACCAGAAGAAAGCAAAACTATAAGCAGTCCCTCGCGCGCAAGGTAGATTGATGATTTGATTCTGTTTCAAGGAGGGAGTTTTCAAGACGACAAGTTTTGTTTGAACCGTGCTCTTCAAATTTGACTTGAAACGTGTCAAATAATCCCCATTCATGCGCATGTGGAGAGATCCACCCTAGGCACCATCATAACATGTCGGTTAGTACCATGGAACTAGAAGCCTATCCATGGGAAATCCTTACACAAAAGAGACTGGAGAAAAGCACCCATGAACTCTACTAATTTGCCTCATTGTACAGCGCATTTGGCAAAAGCCTTTCTCCATATTAATTCCTTTTATTGGTGTGTTTTACAAGGATATGTTTTACAAATTTCGGTCAAAAAACGATAAGTCAAACGCAGTGATGGTCTAGTTTTCAAATCAGACCTAATTATGAATGTCAGTTAACTATTAAGCTCAGTTATTTACAGCACGGCGCTAAGGAAATATTGGCATTAAAGGTCAGACCCGACAGACACAAAACATACCTGCACTTTTGTCAAAGCTCGGTTAATTTAAAAGCTGTTTTTTATTATGGGTCAAGGTTGACAGTCTTAAACGACAACATATTAGAACACTCCCTGGTAATTGTTGGTACTTAAACATATTAACCTCGGTTGTTAAATTGTAAGACGGATATACAGGTAATGTCGCGTGTTACACCTGTCACAATTTCAGCTTTGACTGGAGAGATATTTTAGGAGGTTTTCATTTTTGTTGGAAGGAAATCAAGTGAACGGCAGAGATTATTTGAAAATACAATTTAAAGCATGACCGCTTTCCAAGAATGTCACTATTCTAATGTACCAAAAGGTGGTATTTCTATAATTTAAAGAAAACACTTGAGACACTGTATTAATATGCTCTGTGCCATTTGTGACTCGAAAAATGGATGGATATTGTGGCAGACTGGTATGGAAATTTTGCACTGGTTTCTGATTTCGCTTAGACAATATTAGTAACCTTGACAGCTGTGCACTTTTATCAACACAAAGCAGCTATTTTTCCGTCCTTTGTGTAATGCAACAACATTGGCACAAATAAAAAACGTTTGATAAGAGGTAGCAATAGTGAGAGAAGGCGTGTTCAAAGTCTTATGGAGTCTGGTAATGTTTATATTTTTGGTGAGTGTCACATGTACCAAATCTTATCAAAAATACGCTGAACAATATAAATACCAAATAATTTCTCAATTTCTAAGTGAAGCAGTTCTCACCATCTGCACTAACGAGCCTGGATCGCACTAGATCGTTCTTATTCCCAACCAGGATCGTAGGGCAGGTCCTGCTCTCGGAATGTCTCAAATTTCTTAGAATGTCTTCCGCGTGTGCGTACGAAGGGCGGTCTGAAAGGGCGTACACCACCACATAGGCGTCTATATCTTCAGGTTCAGGTTGTCTTGCTAGCTAGAAAGAAAATTGATAGAGAGTTAAACTGCAGTTTTGCTTGGCTGTTTAGACGTGCATCGCTTTGGTGATTTGGTATACTACATTTAACATTTTTTATACGATAGACAAGTATACCGATGCTGGTTTTGGTAAATAAGGCTTTAAAAGAAGCAATTTAAAAGCAAAAAAAGTTATATCTGAATTGATTGAAAAGAGAGACACTGAATCTGGATATAGATAAACTTTCGGTTCTGTTTCCTTCGAAGCAGGAGCACTGGCAAGAAAGAAAGCAGCCATTTAGGCTAAGCGTTTAGCCATTATAATGGTACATCGAGCAGATTTTCGAGTAAGATAATTTTTTTGTGATTAATAACGACTGCACTCTTAAACACATCATATTTACAATACACAAAGAAAAACTGCTGTTTAAATTAAGGACGTGATAAGATGCATGTATACCACGCACAAAGGACCATAATTTATAATTGGTCTTGAATACACATGAGGCTACGGCCGAGATGAAGTTGACAGCTAGAGTAGAAAAAAAAACTGTTTCGAACACTTAATCGCTCCGCGCCCATAATTTGCCTCTAAAATACATATGCCTTATACTGCTGTCGAGCCTCACTGTATTTTGTGGCAATTTTCTGGCGTTCTGCTGTGATTATCTAGGCAATAACCCAGTAGGCAATAAGTTAAGTGAAATCTAGGTTCTGCTAATGTTATCTAGATTAAGAGATTCGAGGTATATATAATCGTGCCATAGCTTTTCATGAAAAGCTGCTGTCACTGGCGGATCTACATGTAACATCTCAAGACTGACAGCATACTGATCCGCATTTTTGATAACGATTCTATATACTATTCCGTAGTCTGGCACGTTATTTCATGGCGATTTACTTGCACTTAGAGTGATGACATGTATTCTAATCTACACTTGTTGCGTTTTAATAAAATTCTAAAATCATATTATGGGTATGCTGCCACCCGCGGAATTTTTCTGATCGGTAATTGTCTAAGGTTTCTGTGGAACGAGACGTCTCACGGGTTAAATCCCCAAGTGATCATTTCACAAAAACGCCTTTCGTCAAAGTAAATCAGGCAATTTCAGTTATTGCCTAGTTAAGTTTTTCAATAATGATTCGACGAGGTGGTCCTGCACTGTTCTGAAAAAAAAAAAAGGACATCCATTTGTAGAGAGACTGTGAACCTTTGGAATGATCCCCTTGCAAAGATCTCCTTAATGTAAGACTCCTTGTCAGAAGGGAGCCTTTTATAGGATTCATTACTCTTAATTGGTACCAGTTCAAAAGCCAAAGAGAAATGAAAGACATCGAGTCTCACATCTGATCTGTGCGTACAGTTAATGATGATCTAAATCGACCTCGGACTTTGTCAGGATTACTTTCCTTGCCGATGTGACAGGAATGTAATCCTAAGGATGGAAGTCTGGAGTCCCATATGATTAGTACGGGTTAGGGTTAGTCGGAGTATTGGGGTTAGCTTATGAAAGGAATGCCACCTGTACAAAGTAATGGGAAAGGGACTATGGTCCCAAGCGGGCTACCAGCAGGGGCGGATTTAGGCCGTCTTCTGGGTCTTCCAGAAGACGGTCAGATTTTCAAGTTTACATTGACGGGTATCCAATTTTTAATGTTGGAAGACGGTCAAAATTGGAGGATGAATCAACAAAGATAATTTGGAAGACTGTCAGTATATAGCTCTGGATCCGCCCCTGACCAGTACTGTCGCAGGACGTTTTCTGAAGCGAACCACCTCGCCTGTCACATGGGTATCACGTGATCCTCACATGACCAACATGGGTGGAGGCAGATAACACCCTCCTGACATCCAACCCCCTCCCGCTACCCGGACGCAACTAGTGGTGTAGCATATTTACCTGTCTGCTATTATAAAAACGTAGTTCCGATTCTTCGCCATCTAGAGATATAGATACAATTACTTCACAGCTATCATCTGCAAATAAAACAAAAATGCACATTATCACAACTCAGAGGGGAAGGTGGCATTTTAAAAAAATGATATATAAAAACAAATAAGACAATGATTATTGACGTTTTGTGCCAAACATTTGTAAAGAATATTTTATTAAGTACGTTCTGCATGTTCTAAAAAAATCTTATAGAGCGTTGAATTGATGGCGTTCAATCGGCCGTGAAAGTCAAGCTCGGTCTAAGGGTAAATATGCTCTTTTTCACACTTGGTAGAACATACTTTTGAGTTTTTTTTTATTTTATAGATCAATATTAATAATTTTGATAACATGAAAGTGCAACGTGCTCCAATGAAAAACAATGTTATGTTGCTATCATATTCCTTTCATGCTGACTTTCTTCAACTCAGATGACTTGAAACGTCCATGAATGAGATGACACCATAACAACATATCGTCCGCCAGTGCAGTATATCCAATGCACTTTTAACGCGGGCGTCTCTATAATCCGAGGGTTCATTAGTCCGAAGATTCATTGGTCCGAAAAATCGTATTCATACGACTCTGATGAACTTCACTTTATTGCTACCATATTTTTTATTCATGCATTAATTCGGACTATTGAAAATTCGGAACAATGAACCTTCGGGTTATTGCTACGGCGATGTAATTGTCAAAGATTGATGACGAGTAGACGGGGATGCTTGTAAAGGGGTGGGGGCGCTTCTTTGCGCTTATATTTCTGTTTCCAACCTTGTCAAATAGGCGTTTAACAAATAAAACACAATAGAACAATTTTCGGCGACGTCAAACCCCTGCTCACCTTGTGTGATGCACGCAACGAGACGGAACGCGGCACGAAACGATAGCCAAGGTTTCGCGTATAACTATTAGCGATTTGAGCAAAACACCCACCTCAGGAAAAATGCCCAAAGAATAATAACTGCGGCCCTGGTAGAGGGTAGTCGTTCTGTTGTTTGCCGGCTCTAGCGATTTATTCCACGTCTTCCGTGTAAAACGATCACATTTTGTTAGTGTTGGAAAGAAAACATCACGCAATCGTGATAAAATGCCACTTTGTTAAAATTGCATTTGGTTTACGATGCAAGAGAATTATCGCCAAAGGACGCAAAACGGAGGGAAATGACCAAGAGAGGGTTAACGCGAAATACGAAATATATGCAGAATTGTCATTGTGAGCAGAAAATAAGCCGGAAAAATGCCTATCCGGACGTCAAGTGTTCATAAACAAGACATTTGTCAAATTTCATTTGCTTTGTTACAATTCATAATTCTTTTAATAAATGGTTAAAAGCACCCGTTGGCTATTGTCCTACATCTATATAAAGAAGAGGAAAAGACTGGGGTCTATTATATCAACTAAGCACAAAATGAACACCGGCATTGGGGAAGATGCCGCTTATCCTTCTCCTTCGAATTACAGTACCAGTAGTTTCAGCTTCTTCCTATTACCATTGCTTGACAGAGTTGCATTTTTAAGCATTGTCACTAATTTGTTAGATTTTCCCACTCCTGAGGCTATAAGACAACTTTAACTAGTGACATATTTGACATCACAATGACTTTGAATTTCAAACCAAAAAATGCAAACGATATGTATCGATTAACTATGTATAATCAAAGAAAAAACCGCACCAAGGTGTTTAACCCCTATCATCTGCTGTCCGCGAAAGACGATGTAAAGTTATATTATGGTAATACTGAATTCTATCATGCCATCTCGTCACGATTCTGCTGCAATACAGCTTATTTTATCTTTTGAAAAAATCAGTAGTTATTAACGGTATTATTGCCTTCCATGAATGTCTCTCTTGGGCGGCTGTCATCTTGAAAACTGTCAGGATGTTAACCACAGTGCTCTGCAGAAAGTAATTATTCAAGATGTCTCTAAAATGCAGCTCTTAGTCCATGTGCAGCGTTCTTGACTGAAATTAAGTTCCATTGTTAGAAAATCTTTGGATTTTGACAGAACTATAACTATTATTTTGTTTTTCCAGCATTGACCGCTCTAGATATTTTTTCGCATTTCCTTCTTTTTTTTTCATGGCACCGGGCAGTTAATTGTAGACTTTATTGACAGATCATCGTTAATTATATTTACAGAATAAAAACAAAGACCTGCGTGAATATTTCATTGCCCTACGTGTATATGCAGCATGTAGTAGCATGTGTTTGTTAGCTAAATCAACCAGGGTATGAGCATGTCGATTATCTCCGTTCTTTATCTAATTGTGCGTGATTGCGAGTGAAGCAAAACGTTTCCTATAATGACTGATAATTTGTTTTGTTCTCTCGTTGCAGGAAAGATCACAGCATCATGGCGATAATTTGTTATGATTTCTAAACGGATGAAAGATCACAGCATCCCAATAACTTGTAGCATAGACCTTGTATGAAACTCTTCAGCAAAGTAAAAATATACTTGTTTCTCAAACCTCATGCGCAGAAACTTGCGGCATATATATATATATATATATATATATATATATATATATATATATATATATGGTCAGTGGATATAAACATGGTAACTTGCTTACTTAGATTAACCTTAATTTACACAGGGTGGCAGCCTGGAATTGCAGTCATGGAATACGTCCCATTTTAAAATTTGTTTAAAACCCGTCCGATAGGGTGCGCTCAGATTTCTTTTGATCTACTTTTTCTAAACTATTGATTTTAGAGGATAAGATGCATTTTAGAAAATCAAGATGACTTTTTTTGCAATACATGTATTGTAGCCAATTTTGTTCTACAATGGCCATACCTATGTCAATGCATTTCCATTTTAAAGGTGAAGAATTCTCACTAAACCATACAATACCCAGTACCTACCAGCTCAGTAGCACAATGATCTCCGAGCGATTCATTGTTTAAAAAGCTCAGTGACCTTACAATTTAAAGTTCCAAACAACTTCATTATTCGGGAAATTTC